CCCTGGGGCCTCCCAAGCTCTCACTGATCACCATACAAATATCACCTTTCAGAGACTTTCCCTGGCCTTCCTGCTTAAATGGTACCCCAACCCCGCCTTATTCCCTGTCCCCCATTGACCTGCTTCATTGTACCCACAGCACCCCCTCATGACTTAGTCATGCACATTTTGGCTCTGCTTGATGCTGCCTCAGGGTGGGCACATGGGGCGTGATGCATAGAAAGTGCCAACCAGTCAATTAACACACACGTTCTGCTTAATGTTTTAACCACAATTATAATCCACTTAATTAAAACTCCTTGAGGGCTGAGACATTATCATGTTCATCTCTCCATTCCATTGCACATATCAGACTCCAACTATCTGTTAAATAGACCACTTTGTACAAAGCTAAATAGTTTTCAGAAGTCCTTGGAGAGAAAAGGTGTTTGTTGTATTTTGTATATTAACACACAGTCTGATGTATGAGCACAACTTAATTATAAGCCAGTGTCCTTTGAGATACTGACAAATTCCAACTGACTATATTACACGAGGACTTGCAAATGGTCACACTCACCTTCTTTTTGGACACAGGACGACCCCGAGGCCTGTCATAGGCGATGCGAACTGGTTCGTGAACTGGAAGACAAAATATAAATATATATATACATATATACACACACACACACGCACACACACACAAACATACACACACCCCTATATGCTCTTTCCCCACGTGACTAAAACAGAAAATGAGTTTTGGCTAATTGTCCCTCTGCTGACAGAAAGTGGCTACGACACACACAAGGCCAGCTGCTTGGCCTGGCTCCTCTTAGGAACCATGTGACTACCAAGCACACTGAACACGTGGGCTCAACTGAAGACTCCTTGCCATGAGACTCCTTAAACATAGGATGCCTACATTTATGATGAAATTCCCAATGTGTGCATCACATTCCATGACTGCAGGAATACACTTTGCTTCAGAAACGAATATGTTCAATGCTATGCCCTCCAATGTCTCTGCAATTATCCCACTGATAAAGAATTAAAGTCCACATAGAACTTTCCATCAAAAACAACCATGCTTCTCATACAAAACTCTGAATCACATTATTGTTGTTATTATCTATGATGGAGAGATGAGCTGATTTTGTCTCATCAACCAAAGAACTGAGAGCTTCTAAAACAGGATTCCACTTCCCCCCATGCAGGACATACTCGAGCATTCTGATATGCAACCACCATCGGCAGTAAGCTCTGAAGATCAAGAGTTTGGTAGAATAGTTAGCAATCCATTGTGACACCAACGTTTCCAAACACAAACCATGGGACTGATTTATTAGTGAGAAACTATACTGACACTGCTGGGTGTGAATGTGACAGTCTCAATAACGTAGAACACCCAGGTGACATTGTTCGCCGCCACCACTTCACATGCAGGTATCACAGTATCAGCCCCACAGAGCATGGCCCAGGCTGTGCAAACACCTGGGTGGGCAGGGGGCACAAGGAATAACCTGGGCCATGACCAGCCCATTAAAAGGCCGCACACAATATGATTCCACCTACTGAGATTAAAAAAGGCAGAACCATGAGGCCAGAAAACAGTCAGTGGTTGCAGGGGCCAGGTAGGAGAGGGGACTGTAGAAGGACACAGAGACACTTTCTGGGGACAGGTTCTAGCTCCACTGTACTGGTAGGTTCATGACTATACATATTTGCCAAAACTCCTTGAACTATCCACTTGAAAGTGGTGCATTTTATTGCTGGTAAACTGTACCTCAAGAACCCTGACCCTCCCCACAGGAAGGATCATGGAGCACACAGCTCCCGCTAACAGCTGCCAGAGACCTCCCCCGACCCTGTCCCATGACCTCCTGCCTCATCTTCACTTAGCAGGTATCACTACCCCAGGTCTTCTTTGGCTCAAAAGTCTAGGCATTCCCCAAGGTTATGAGCAGGAAATGGCTAATATGATCTGGGCCCATCCCTTCCACAGCCAGAGCTTCCCTGCTGGAATCTGAGCAATGGAAATCCCAAGCAGCATGTGGGGCACTAGAAACCACAGACTATGCAGCAGCATCACCTCAGAATGTCAATGGTAGACCAACTGGAAATGAGTTTCACATGAACATTTGGAGTGGTATGCAAAACCATTAGGACTGTTTTAGGTTAAAAACAGAAGACCAAAGAATCCCACGTTGAGTGGGCCCTGGGAAGACTGGGAGGTAATGTCCAGGTCGGCAGTGGAGTCAGAGGTAGGAAGGGTGACAGGGGCCAGCTGGTTATCTTGCAGTGGAGCCTGGGCTGAGGGCCAGTAAATTCTTCAGGTCAGGCAATGTCTCTATAACCAAGTACTCCACCTCAGGTACTTAACAGTGTGGCATGGTGTGCCGACCCACTGGCACTCACCTTTGGGCTCCTGGATGAGACACAGCCTCTTGGGAGCCGGAATCATGCCAACCTTCAATGACTTACTGCTGACCCTCTTCCGGGGGAAGCAGGCTCCCAAGGAGGCCTGTGACAGGGTAGGCACACCAGCTGAGCTATCTTCGGCTGCCTCACTTGGGAGGCCATCGGCGGGAGGGCTGTCCTCGGAGCCTTCAGATTTGGGAGCCCCTCCTGCTGGCATGGATGGCCCTCCGGGAGCATGGTCTTCCTCAACCCCCTCTTCATCCTCATCCTCCTCATCCTCCTCATCCTCTTCCTCCTCAGGCATCACTTCTAGGCTCTCCAGCTCAGCCTCCTGAGGAGGCTCATCCTCAAACTCTCCTTCTCCTTCCACAGGCTCTAGGTCACTTTCACTGGCGTGCAGGTTCAGTGAAGATGATGTAAAACAAATTGATGGGCACAGTTCAAATACTTTCTTTCGATAGAATTTGAAAGCTGAGCTATTTTGGTCATGCAGAAACCTGGGATAAAGATGATATACACTGGTTAATCAGAAGGTCTTCTGATTATTCTTATTTGCTGAAATTGTCCAGATGGACCTGATGAAGCTGGGGGTGGGACAAAAGAGCAAATAACCTGACCTCTTTCTACCAGCTATGGCTGATGGTGCAGCTTCAAAATGAGAAAGTTTGAGGTGCCAGAATGTCAGGCCCAACTGCTTTTTGGAAGAGGGAGGTGGAGGAACAAGGTATGCAGGGACGACCATGGACCATGCTGGAATGAGCTTAAACACTGCAGCCCAGAGGTCTGACCTGGCCTCACTCACCCTTTTCTAGTGATGTCACTGGCCCTCTGGGCCTCTGTCTGCTGTGACTCTTGGGTCCCTCTCACACTCCCAGGTATGAGATGAAGGAAGCATGTCACCCCAGCACCTTCTGCCTCATGTCCTGCAGAGAAGCTGCTTAAACATGGTGATGATAAGGCCTCTCTGTGCCTCTGAGTCTGAGGGCCACCTTGACCTGTAGCCACAGCTGGGGGCTGCAAATGGTGTGGAAAACCAAAACACACCTGAAGACACAGAATACACTTACAACAAAAGAAAGACAGCCCTTGTCCTTGGACAGGATAACTCAACCTCACAAAGATGTTAATTCTCCTCTTATTAATGTAGTAATGTCAAAAAGTATCCCAATAAAAGCACTATTTGTTTCTGGATCTGGACAAGATAAAGCTAACGTTCACGCATAAGACCCACCAGATATTACAAGGTGTGTGAAGTCTCTACAGTTAAAACAGCATGGTACTGGTCCATGGACGAATGGACAGACAGACCAAGAGAAAGGCCAGAAACACTATCTGATGAAGGTGGCGTCTCAAACCACTGTGAAAGAGGCAATCTTTTCAACAAATGGTGTTGGGACAACTGGACAGCTTTTAAGAAAAATATTTAAATTGGATCATTACTGCATCCTCTACTCCTGAATAACCCCACACAGATCAGGGATCTAAATGTAAAAAATAAGCCATAAAAGTTCTGGAAGTACGTAAATATGGGGAGAGTATAGGGAGATTTTTTCTATGACTCAGTGTACAGGTGCAGTAAAAAAATTGTGAAATCTGCATACATGAAACACTTCTGCACTGTAGAACATCTCATATGCAAAGTAAAAGATAATATCAAAATAAAAAGGAAATATAAATAACAGCATTATAGATAAAAGCACTTAAAAATCAAGAAAGAAAAAGTAATAGTGGAAAGGGTTAAGAACTTCTACCCTCCAAAGACACTTGGAACAAGACGACTAGTTACAGACTGGAAGAAAAGGTCTGAAAATCACACATCTGATAAAGGACTTGTACCAAGAACATATAATGAATTCTCACAATTTATTACTAAGTAAATAAACAAACCAATCAAAAAATGGGCCAAAGATATATGACCCAATTAAAAAATAGGCCAAAGATCTGGACTGACATTTCACTAAAGAAATGTGGAAAACACATAAGCACAATGGAAGATGCTAAGCACCATCAATCTTCAAGGAAATGAGAACCACAATGGGATAGCCCCTCTCCATCTTCATACTGGGACATTAAAAAGATGGACACTAGCACATGCTAGAACTCTAGTTCAAGCTGCTGAAAATGCAAAATGGTACAGCCACTTGGAAAGGCAGTTTGGCAGTTTTCTCAAAAGTTAAAATGTGGATCTACCATGAGAACCAGTCTTTCTCCTCCTTAGTATTTATCTGAGAGAAACAAAAGGTGTCCACAGAAGTACTTGTACACAAATGATCATAGCAGCTTTATCTGTAATATTTTCAAAATAAAAAGACCTCGAATGCCATCAACAGGGAATGCGTGAGTAACTGGTCCAGCTATACAGTGGTCCCACTTCTCTGAGTTTACCTTTTGTAATTTTTAGTTTATAACCATGCAAATTTATACTTATTTTAAAAATTAAAGACAAAAATAAAGCCCTAAAACTTAATTTTTCAACAGAAACAAATGAACCTGACTGTATGTCAAACCGATGACATAGCCACGCACACAAAATGAATCAACTCAAAAGACTACTAAGCACATCAGAGGTATTTTCTTCCAAGAAAAATAAAAACACAAAGGCATCTTGGCCTTTATAAAACAGGCATGCTGCCAGGTTCAGTGAGTTTTAAACTATTTAATGAGTGCTGGGGAAGAGAGTGCATCACCCCACCTGTTGTTGCTGTAGGGTTCTTGCTGTGTGTAAGAAGGGGACAGCATATTTTGAGGAACACTGCTCAGAAAAAGTTGCACAGAGGGTGAGGAATAACCCCAAGCCAAGTGCACAGGATAATGCAGAGTTTTCTTGCAAACTTTAGTTTTCATGGGGGAAAGAAAAGGACTGATGAAACGCTCCTGGCTGCCCTGCACTGAGCTATCTGCCTCGCCTGGCCCTGCCAGGGTGACGGCCTGCACACCATGGGCAGTCCTACTCTAAGGCCTGCAGGGGGTAGCCCCTGAGTT